CAAGACCTCCATTTCTATGTTGAGACCTGCTCCCCAATGTGAAGGTATGAGGAGGTGGGGCTTTTGGGAGATAATTAGGTCATGAGGGCGGAACCCTATGACTGGGATCAGGGTCCTTATAAAAGGGGCCTCAGAGCACTGTCTTGCCCCCCTTTCTGCCTGGTGAGGCTCTGAAGAGGACAGCCCAGAAGAAGGTCCTCACCAGAACCTGACCATGCAGGCACCCTGATTGATCTTGGACGTCCAGCCTCCAGAACTGTGAGAAATAAATTCCTGTTGTTTATAAACTACCCGGTCTGTGGTACTTTATCACAGCACCCTGAGCTAAGGCCCTAGAGAAGGTTCCTTTTATTCGTTTCCACATGGCAGAGTCAGACTGCCTAGGTGAATACACACAAAGCTTTGGCATATCCACCTTATAGCAGGAAGGTAATGTGTGATATTAATGCTTTTCCTTCCAGTATCTCCTTCTATTCATTGACCCTTTTCTCCCTGGTATTTCTAATCCTTCCCCTCACCAATTTCTTTTTGGCCTTCTCAGTCCATTGCCCCAGGAAAGGAATGTGTACCTAACACCCCCCGAGAATGACAGAAACAACTTAGATTTAGGCCAAAAAGTGTGAATTAATGTTTCCAAGACCAGAAAAGGATCCCAGGCTAGGAAAGAGGCAAGGAGCAGGAGAGCTTAGGTGTTGATTCCCCCTTGCCTCCCCGCTTGAAGGTGAAGAGAGAATCCCAAAATGGTTATGTGAAGCAAGATGTATTAGTGTGTCCAAGTTGCTATAAAGAAATATTATAGACTGGGTGGTTTAAACAACAGAAATTTCTTTCTCAGGGTTCTGAGTTCTGAAAGTCCAAGATCAAGGTGCCGGCTAATTTGTTTCCTGGTAAGAGTTCTGCTGGCTTGCAGATGTCTGCTTTCTCACTATGTCCTCACATGGTGGAAAGAAAGAACTCTTTGGTATTTCTTTTTAGAAGAACACTAATAATATTGGTGTAACTTACTTGATTTAATCCTAATTACTTCCTTACTCTAAATATAGTCAAACTGGGGGTTAGGACTGCAAAATATGAATTTGGGGGGTGGGGAGATAATTTGGTCCATAACTCAGGAACTTGCTGCCCCAACAAAGAGAGAAAGAGATAGATGGAGAGGCAGAGAGAGAAAGCAAGCCGACTGGTTATAAAATTCTGCTAAATAGTGTGTCCAGGCAAGCACGGATATTTGCTGTGGTTCCACATGGAACAAGAGGGGCTGAGTGGTTCTCATGTATCTGAGAAGAGCCCATAGACGGCTGATAGAGCCAGACCAAAAGGAATGCTGCAAGTAGGGGGAAGGCATGATATAGCAGTAGCGGAGAACAAGATAGAAGGATGCACATATTAGGGGCTACCTGTGTAGATGGAGGATCAAATGCTTCTTCTACTTCATTCACCCCAGCAGAAATCCAAATTTAGGTAAAACTCTGGTGAAAGGAGATGGATTTGAAATCCTGGCAGAATGGGGGCTCAGAATAAAATGAAGGTAAAATACAGAACTATAACTCCTCTTGTACATAGATATTAAAAAAAAAACACAAACGTATTTTGTTTATCAGGTAGAGAATCTACCAGAGTCTTGGTCAGATTCTCTTTCTGGTCTGATTGGATTATAAACATCAGTGACTATAGCTGATTTATTTCCTTAAAAACAATGCAAAGGAGAGACTTTGTTCCAGTAGATAGAACCTCTTTCCTTAGCTCAGATCTGTCAAGATTCTTGGTTGCAAAGAGCGGAGACCACTTCAGGTTAAGTTAAGCAGAAAAAAACACTGCCCTGGGGTAGTAAGCATAGACACTAACTGTCCTGACTGCTGGTCTCCTCACTCCCCCACCAGCCTTGTTCTTGAGTCCCAATTGTCCTCTTTTCCTCCCACATTAGTAGCAACATAGAAGGGTGAAGTGGGGGAGTGAGAGGATGGATGTATGCGTGCATATGTGCAAAATAGATCTGGAAGTTACACAAGAAATTGGGTAATATGGATTTCACCCATGGAGAACTGGATGGTGGGGAAACAGGTAGAAGGAAGACTTTTTACTATATAAATTTTTTGTAACTTTTGATTTTTTATTCATTGGAAAATAGCCCACTTTAAAAATTAATATTTCTAAGTCCTTGCTCAGTCCAATTCAAAATCTAAATCTTATACCTATTTCAAAGCTCCTTACACGTTCTGAAGACTGGCATGGCTCCACAACCTGCAGCTGGGAAGGAGTCAAGGTCTGTTTTCTCCTTTTACTCTTCCTCATCTTCACTTCCCTTGCTCTTGGCTCCAGCAGTGGACGGGTAAGCTTTGGATAAAATCTCTTAAATGGGTGCAATCGGAGGTTCCCATTTCAGAGTCCTTACACTCTGAAATGCTGGCTCTTTGTGGGTATTTCAGTGGCTCCTCACCTCCCCACCCTGTGTAGGAAATTCCATTTGCATAGTATCCTGATGAGGTATGTGCTCTTTGGCTGATCTCTTATAAACCCTCCCCCACCATTGTCTCCCTCCTGTCCCTGAGGGATCTTTCATGGTCTTTTATGCTATAGTCCCTTGCTGCAGCAGAGGATCCTTAGAGGGAAGCTCAGCTTTCTTTCTTTGGAATCAATTTTACCCATGGGATTATTACACATCTTGCCATACCAAACAATGCCCTTCCTACAAACAAGGGTTGCTTCAGCCAGCCTCCTGCCTTGAGTTCTCCAGGCAGGAGACAGGCATTAGTCTTTACGTGTAGGTCTGAAATCCAAACTCAGGTTTTCCTGAGCGCTCTGACTATATCTGCTCTGGGACACTGAGGTAGGCTCATGGATTTCTGGGGTTCTGCGGGGATTTAGCCCAGATTTAATGCCAGTCCTTTTTGTCAGGAGCCTCTGCCACCAACTTTTCTGGGAGTGAGGGGAGAGGGGAACATTCGGGGACAACTCATGACTCAGCATTCCCTTGTTCAATGACTTCCAGTCATTTGCTTATTTGAGCTGTTAGAGTATGAGTGTGAGAATTCAAAGAGAAGTTTGACCTGCTCTTATTAAAATCTGGAGGGGGCTAGCTCCTAGGCTGCCCACCTTACAATGTAGAGTTCTAATGGCCTGTTGCCCTCAGCTTTGGGGCCTTAGCCAAAGTTTTGTTACAAATGGAAATGTCCTAGTTCACATCTGGTTACTCATATCGCTAAAAACTTCAAAATAACATCCTGCCACATAAAGAAAGTTCTTATCTTTAATAACTACCATTTTACTGAACATTTATAAGATACAAAGAATTTTACATATTAATGCATTAACTACTCACAACACTATTATGATATAGGGATTTTCATGCCCATCTCAGTGAGAAAACCTGAGACCCATAGGTCCCATAGGCCGACATCAGAATTGGAATTTGAATCCAGATCTGTTTGACTTCAAAATCAACCTGCATATAAAAATGAGTAGTACAATTAGCATCTACTGCAATTGTCTCCCACCAACGAGCTACAGAATTACGGTGGAAGTATAGTTATTGTGAGTAATCGAAATACCCTTAGGCCCATCAAACATCGTGTGTGGATTCAATAAACAGATGTATATACTATTTCTTATCTATCACTTCAACAAATAATGCTCAACAAAGGAGTTCTCTTTTTGTACCAGGTGGGGATACATCAGTGTACCAAACAAGCTAAAATTCCTGTTCTTGTGGAAATAAAAATGTGTTAAAATCATACCAGAAATTACATTTTTTGTCATCACACATTTTACCAATTAACTAAAACTGAAAATATGACTTATCATGTGAAGGCTCAGGAAGAACTTTGCTATTGAAAATGAGTCTTCATACTGGGCCCATGTGGAAGCCACTGATAGTATTTAAATAAATAAATGCAAGGACACAATACATTAGATGAAAGAGGTATTTGTGAGTAGTCAAGTCCAAGCCGGCGCTGACAATATCTGGGTCATAGAAGAAATATTGGGCAATCTCCATTGGGTAATCCCATTCATACATCAAACAGCTAAGTGTAAATTATAATTACTACTTCAGTCAATTAGAATCATTATTCCACTGATGAAAATGATGAGGAATCTCAGGAACATGGTTGGAGGCAGGGAGATGGATTACTTTACCTCGTGTTTACCCTTTGACTCTGGGACTCTGAGGCTCCTTCTAAAGCTCTTACAGCAGTGACCATTGGTTTAAACAGGGAGCAGTCATATTTGATCTGTAACTTCAGTCCTCCAAAATCCCAGGAAAAAGTCACTCATTCATTTAGTGCTACTTAAAAGCTGTATCATAGCTTGTTTAACCAAAAGATCCGTATTCCAAGAAGTTAAGTGTCAGTAAGGTTGCTTTTGGTCTTTCTCATCACTTCTTACCTTCGCCGGGATAATAGCATGAACGTACTGTTACCGTCGGTATAGTTCTTCCAGGTCCTCACAGCGGGGGCCGGTAAGCAGTATTAGCCTCTCCACATGCCAGCCGAGCTAAATGGAAGAGCAGATTGGTTTAGAAACACGGAGAGTTCTGCACTGCTCTTCCCATCTCGCCGCGACTTCCTAATTCCTCTTGCCACCCCATCCCCGCGGCATGAGTACCCGCTTGCGGCTCGCTCCGCCTCCCGCAAGCCTCCACTTAAACTACAACCAGGTGGAAGCCACCAACCTACATTTCCCATAATGCTTAAGCGCTGACGGGCCTCGCGTGGGGTTTTCCCTAAGCTGCCGTTGTAATTAATGTTAGATCATAGCCACATTTCCGGGGAACGGCCGAGTTATCGTCCACTTCGTCGTTCAGATACCTTTCCCCCCCCTCCACGTGCGATCTCTAATGTTCGGCGAAGAGGTCTCTGTGGCGGGAAATTCATTCAGGCGACTGCTATGGCCACCCACTTCCTCTTGGAGCCTCGGCCCCTGCCAGGTCCTCGGGGGCTTGGGAGTGTCATTGGTGGATGACCGCAGCTCCTGCTGCTGTCGCTGTCACCGCGACCATGGCTTCTGGCAGCAGCGGCATGGCTGCCGCCCGCCTTCTGTCGCGCTCCTTCCTCCGTGAGTCCAGCCGAGACTCTCTCTTCCAGGCCTCCGCGAGTTCCTGGCCTCGCCGGGCCCAACATCCTGGTCCAGGCCGCGGCTGGGCCCTCTGGGGCCGAACCTCGGTGGGGGCCTGGGAGGCGCGAGAGTGCGGCCCCAAGCCGGGGACCACCTGGGGTGGAAGTGGCTTTGCTGGATTTGTAGGGTGGAACATGACCTGGGCAGCTGGGTTAAGTGGCGTGGCCGAGCCAAGATTCGGGTGTGGGCGCCCTGTAGACTTGGGGGCATGCTTTGTCCCCCGCGATGATGAACGGCCGGATGGGGGCGGCGTCTAGACTGTCCCTGTTTGGGAGTGAGAGGTGAGGTGGTCCAGGATTAACTCAGCTGGGAGAGTGAGTGTCTGGATTGAGGGGTAGGAGGAGGAATGTCTTAGTAGCACATTGGGAGAAGAGGTTGAGGCTGTCCCTTAGTTTCTGTTTTTGTTTTTCCCTGCAAATTGTAGACTAAGCAGAAAGGTGGGTTCTGCACCCCAGAGTGAGCATAGCCCAGAATACTCCTAGAAGTTTAGGGTTGGCTGGGACTTTAACCAACTGTTTGCAGTGTCTCCACCAGGCGGTGTGAACCCCTCACTCCCTGAAAACTTAATATCCAAAGTTGCTAATTTTTGAATAACGCTGACTGTTAAAAATTCTTGCTATGTTCAAAGTCTCTGTGTTAGGTAAGCTGTATAGAAAGAGACTTTGGAATCAAACCAAATCACATTTGAAGTCTGGCTAACCCCTTACAGTCTGTGTAATAACCCTGGGACTTTTCTTAATCGTGACCAGCCATTAGTTGTCAGATGCTTCCAGATTTAAGAGATGTTAAAAAGTGAAAAAATGCACATCTTAGAAAGGGTGCAGTACAGGATAATCTGGGTTCACTGTACAGAATAGTTGAAACAATTTACATAAGGCACATGGAATGTAATACACACTCAACTAAAGTTAGTTTTCTTTCTTCCTTTCTTACACTTTAGTCCTAATTCTGTTTGTACTGAATATTGGACAGATTTAATTCATTTCTTGAGAAGATCACATTCCAAAAGTGTGCCAGGATAAGTATGCACTCAGTAGTTGCACTTACTTAACTCAACAACATGAGGACAGACCTCTGGCTAGATAACGTTGGCAAGTAGGAAAAATTGGGTTTATTTGGGAAAGTTTTCTCAAGATTCTTAATTGTATAATTAAAGGACTGTTGAAGGTGTCCTAGGCAGAAGGGGAAAAGGGATTAGTTACAGCCAGGTCATTCTCGCCTGGGGTCCTGCTTATCAGATTTTCTGAAGAATCCTAGCCTCAGATAGATCTGCTGTCTTAGTAGGAGGAGAGTCTAGCAAAGTGTCTAAAGAATCAGGATCTTTAATCTGCCCTTAGCGGTCCTTTTCTCACAGAGCTGGAAGTTCTTTTTTCCTAGACTGTCAGGACCACGAGACCTTAAAGGATCATCTAGTTTAGCTTTCTGTTGCTGGAGTGTATCCTAGTCATGTGATTAATCTGTTATTAAGGGTTGGAGAGGTCTGAGATCTGAACCAAGTTATCTCCTGTATTTATGCAAGACTATAGTGTTTAATGCAGAAAAACCTAAATCCTGGAAATCTTCTGTTTCTCATGCCACATGTTTAAGCCCATTTCCACTCCCACTAGAAAAACAGCCACAACAATATCACCTTATAAACTTTTTTAAAGGGTGGTCACAAATTATTTAGGCTCTAAGATTAGTAATAGACCTGAAGATGGCTAGCAAATTTTGTTTCCTCTGTTTTCTTAAGTTTCAGTTGATGGTACATTTGTGCTAAAGGTCACAAGTGTTGCAATATTGATTTGAGTTAGGGAAAACGAAAAACAAGAACAAAGCTCAAACATCTGTAGATGTCTTATAGAGCCCTGTTGGAATGTTTAGAAATTTTGGAGCCAAAATTTGGCTTGGTTTTATAGTTTACGAAACCAGTTTTATAGTTTCTGAAAACCAAACCAAACCAAACCAGTTTTATAGGTTATGAAAAAAGGGAGAGTCCAGTTGAAGTAGGGAGAGAAAATAAAATGAAAAATAAGGAAGATTTCTTCCATGAGAAAGTTTAAGGATTTTATAAGCACACTTAAAGTTGAGATAGTAAAGCTTTTCAAGAAATATAAAGCTAGGCAAGCTCATTTCAAACAAGCTGGGGACAGAGGATAAAAAACTAAAACCTAAAAAAAAAAAAATTAATAATAAACATAAGCCAGGAATTCCTATAAATTAGGTCTTGTAAGTGGGAAATAAGAGCCAGTATTTTTGAGCCTCCAAGTTATGTTTTGTTGTTTTTTTTTTTTTTTATAGATTTTATTTATTTATTTGAGGGAGAATGAGTGAGAGAGAGCATGAGAGAGGAGAAGGTCAGAGGGAGAAGCAGACTCCCCAAGGAGCTGGGAGCCCGATGCGGGACTCGATCCTGGAAGTCCGGGATCATGACCTGAGCTGAAGGCAGTTGCTGAACCAACTGAGCCACCCAGGCGCCCCAAGTTATGGTGTTTTAATGTCAGAAAGTGAACCTTACAATCCAGCTGGTCTCATCTGCAGGTCTCATATCTGTTTGGCAAATGAGGAAATAAACCCAGAAAGTTTCCTGGCCAATATCAGAATGGGTATTAGAGCTCTGGTCTTCTGACTCTGCAGTGTCCTTTCTACTAGTATGTGTTGTGTGATACTGTGAGTCTCTTTTTCTGAAGTTCTGGTCTTTCTTTTTCTTTTTAGTTCTTTTTTTCCTTTTTGGCCACCTTGTTTTGTTGAGGTGACTACCCTGCTCAAAGTTACCACCTGCCTTTTCCGTGTGTTTGTCAAGCTGTGTAGGCCACTTTTGAAATCAGGCATTTAGAAGTGTAGTTGGGCAAAAGGGCTCAACGGTGATGTTTCTGGTACTACTGTCTGTTGCTGTTGCATCTAAGGGCCAAATCTCTGTTTCAGAAATACAAAATAGTCTTGATCTGAATGTTCCAGTGGAACCATGAGAAAGCAATTTGACTTTCTCACCTCAAACTCATTCTTCTGTAGAAACATAATTGGGGGTGTTCAAAATAATTTTTGTAAGCATAGGAGAACAATTTCATTTTACCAGAGGACAGGAATGTTGCTATTGACCCATTTTTTTTTCTTTGTAACATTTTTAAAATTGGATATTTCTTTTTTTTTTTTTTTTTAAGATTTATTTGTTTATTTATTTGACAGACAGAGATTATAAGTAGGCAGAGAGGCAGACAGAGAGAGAGAGGAGGAAGCAGGCTCCTTGCTAAGCAGAGAGCCCGACGTGGGGCTTGATCCCAGGACCCTGGGATCATGACCTGAGCCGAAGGCAGAGGCTTTAACCCACTGAGCCACCCAGGCGCCCCTAAAATTGGATATTTCTTATAATTGATGGTTTCTACAGTAAATTGGCAGCATTTTTTCTTTCTTGCTAGTATTTATTATTACTTAAGTGGTATTTTAGATTTGATGAAATATGGCACTTTTGGCCAACTTAGCTTAATTTGTAAGTAAATATTAAATGAATATATAATTTTGCATTTGAACAGTGAATTGTCTGGGGTTTGGGAGTAAGTGGCTGCTGAGTTACTCTGCTATAAGGTTCTATAGGTAAGAACCGCGATGGCCTATATATATTATGTATATATAATATATGTAATTAATGAATAACCATTTATTGATGCATGCGTGCAGGGACACAAGGACACAGTTTGCGAGGTGACTTTGGAAGAGGAGTATTTTCATGAACAGAGATTCAGATTATTGGTTGGGAGCATGGTCCTGATCATACAAGGCTATGGTTTGAGTCACATCTGCGCATGTGCTCTCTGGCCCGACCTCCCGTCATGCATCCCACAGCCATCTTCTAAATGCTGTGGTTGCTCTCTTTGGGGAAGAGGACTCAGCATGTGGCTAACGGATACAGATTTATCACCCTTCTTGAAGGCACATGTCTCTCACATTACTCAGCCTGTTTCTCTCATAGCCTTTGTTACAGTTTGCAACTTCTGTAGTTTTGTGTTTCTTTGTTTACTGTTTAACTGTCTTACAGGGTAGGATGCTTCATGTGGGTAGGACCTGAGTCCATCTCATTTGCTCCTGAATTCCTAGTACCGGGCAGATAGCTTGGCACAAAGAACACCTCGAAGCAGTATGGTCTTTTCATTCTGCATTGGTAATCATAATGATAATAGAGAGCTAATAATGAAATAGCACTCCCCGTACCCTAGGCATTGTTCTATGTGCTTTTTATATTATAAACTCATTTAATTCTCCTATTGCCTATGAGGTACATAGTATTACTATCCCCATTTTTTTTTTACAGTGAAGCTGCTCCTTTAAAAATGTTTGTTATGGTAAAAATTTACAAGTATGTCTGTACACACTACATGTAGACATGGATTAATATAGTTATTGATAAACATAGGATATGCATGAGGAGATATATAGAATAAATCATTGGATTTTTTTTTTTTTTTTTAGAGGGAGAGGGTGAGAGAGAGAAGGAGGGGAGGAGCAAAGGGAAAAGGAGAAGGAATTTTAAGCAGGCTCCATGCTCAGCGCAGAGCCGGACATGGGACTCCATCTCACAACCCTGAGATTTGATTGAATGGAAATCAAGAGTTGGATGCTTAACTGACTGAACCACCCAGGTGCCCCAGCGTTGGACTTATTTTAAAATATGAATCATATGTTCTCTCTTTTTAGGAAACGGTTTACCTTTGTGTTCATGTAGAATGTGCATCCAATATTGGGAGCATACCAGCTACTTTGCTACCCAGTTTACCCAATCATCATCTCATACCAATCACAGAATAGTGGTGCTGTTATGGGCAGCTACTCCATTTATAGATGGGAAAACTGAGGTTAAGGGAGATCAAAAGATCTGTCTCAGGTCAGTGGTTGGTGAGGAGCAGAGTAAAAACTCAGGCCCAGGCCTGTCTGATTCTTCAGAGCAGTTCTCAGATGCTCCCGGATACAGTCCCAGGGTTAGGCCTTGATTTGTAAGAACTTGAAGAGAAGGTGACACCACCACATTCCCTGGAGGTGACCCAAGGTGTGGCAGCTACAGCCTTCATCACTGGGAAATTCTTCCTGGTGTCCAGCCTCAGGCCTTCCTGCTGCCCTAATATTTAATTTAAAATGCTCATTTTCTTAACAATAGTTAAGTTAGAGATCTCATTGCCTGTTGATTTATCATTTGTCTGTGTTTAGTTTTGTTTCTTGTTCATGACCTTTATTCTGTTTTTCTGTAAGGCTTTGGGCTCTACCTTGGTGGTGCTTCCTGTTGCCCAAGTTATTTCCTTGTCTGTTATATATTATGAAAAGACTCTTCCTGGTCTGTTACTGCCTTAACTCTCCTATTGTGAAATAGTCCAGTTGTGTTACATAAGTGCTTCTGGATTTTATTTGTTTTTTTAAAAAAATGTTAGTATGGAGTTTGTACTGGATTAAGCTAAGAGCTTTGAGGACTGCTAATAGCATTTAGGGCTGGACTTCTATACAATCTTCACAATAATTTCAGGGAAGCCTATGATCCAAAAATGGATGTAGGTTTTTCTCCTAAGTGGGGAAAAAAGAGATGGAACTTATGACATTCTGCTCTTATAAGTGTGTTTTTTATAGACTGTCCTGAGATTCAGTGAATCATTTCTTGTACTCTAACTCTGTAAGTCACTGTACCATATGGGAGACACCATGGTGTTCAAGACATGGGCCTTATAGTCATGCCATTTACAGTTAGAAGTTCTAGAGTATATAGATGATACTTGAAATAATCGTGAACTAAATTTAACCTTAAATAATTTTCTTAGAAGTTATGCAGTAAAGGGAGTAACAAAATGTGTGCATCCCCCCACTTACGGTGTGTGGCATAAGTGCTGTATACCACATGGAAGTGTTTGCAGGTTCCATTCTTCTTAATCTCAGATCCCTTAAACACCCCTCATTATATTCACAAGTCAGGAATGTCATGTGAAGATTTAAGGATTCCTCACTGTTCAGTTTTTTTTTTTTTTTCAGTGTTTTATTTAAATGTGAACTTATATGAATTAACGCCAGTGAGATCTCAGGGAGATGTGAGATCTCAGGGAGATGTTGAGTACATTGACTCTGTCATTGAAATATGAGAGATAATTGCAAGATGGTTTGACCACTATTGTATGCCCTATGTTCTTGATTTTAACTTTATGGAATAATTTATTGTAGATACTTGGTAGTTTGAGCATCTTTTAGCGGTAGACAGACGATTGAAGATTTGCACTGTAAATCAGTTTGCATTCTTCAGTAGAAGTGGAAGAGGCTATTTTTCATTACTTAGGGCATTTGGTTTGGGTGGGGAGGAAATCAAGTGGGGAAAGAAAATGCAAAGAGCTGGTCTGACAGATTTAATGTTTACAGCAGCTAGGAGCTTGTGCTCTACCAGCCCACTTGAAAGAAAGCTGGGCGGGGCACCTGGGTGGCTCAGTGGGTTAAAGCCTTTGCCTTCGCTAGCAGGGTTCAGCGTTCAGGGCCCGAGCCCTGCATCAGGCTTTCTGCTCAGCAGGGAGCCTGCCTCCCTCCCCCGCCCCTCTCTCTGCCTTCCTCTGCCTACTTCTGATCTCTGTTTGTCAAATAAATAAATAAAATCTTAAAAAAAAAAAAAGAGAACGGGGTGGGGGGGATTGTGGGAGGGAAGGTGAAGAGGTGCAGGGGTGGGGTTGAGGACAGGTTGCTTTCATGGGGAGCCTGCAACCTGTGATTCTGGATCTTGGATATTATAAAGTAGGGAAGAATGAGGAGAATGATGCAAGTAACTTAGAATTTGGTGGCTTCGACTTGGAATGTGAGCATATTTTGCATTATTTCTATCTCAGAGCTGTAGAGGCGCAGAAATTAAGGTGAGGAGAATTACAGTGTACTACAGCCAGTCTTTGGGGGTTAGGTCTTCCTTCCTCACAGTCGTGGTAGCTGGGAGAGTGCGCTTGGTTTAAGATTCAGGGCTGGGGCGCCTGGGTGGCTCAGTGGGTTAAGCCTCTGCCTTCGGCTCAGGTCATGATCTCAGGGTCCTGGAATCGAGTCCTGCATCAGGCTCTCTGCTCAGTGGGGAGCCTGCTTCCTCCTCTCTCTCTCTGTCTGCCTCTCTGCTTACTTATGATCTCTCTCTGTCAAATAAATAAATAAATTCTTAAAAAAAAAAAAGAACAAAACAAAACCCACAAAGTGCCATTTAAAAAAAAAAAAGATTCAGGGCTAAGGCACGTTCATCATGTGTGGGGCAAGTTTCTGGGATTAAAAGAGCATTTGTGATTATAGAGGACCATCATGGCTTGCTGGGGGCGCCTCAGGTTTTCCTTTGGGTTTCAGAGGACATTTTTTTCTTAAAGATTTTATTTATTTATTAGAAGAGAGAGAGAATGCACAGGAGTGGGGGAGGGACAAAGAAAGAGGGGGATGGAGAAGCAAACACTCCACTGGGCAGGGAGCCCGATGAGGGGCTTGATTCCAGGACCCTGAGATCATGACCTGAGCTGAAGGCAGATGCTACACTGACTGAGCCACCCAGGTGTCCCAGAGTATATATGCCCCAAATGTCCAAGGCTTATTCTTACCACAGTACTTTTCATACTGTGCGCTTATGGCCTGTTTTATATCAGTTCAGGTAGATTGTGAGTTCCTTGAGGGCTGAGACTCTCTTATTCAGCACTTTATCCTTGATACTTGGCTTTGTGGTTTGGCATAGGTGTTCCCCGATGGCTGATTGAATAAATGACTGATGACAACTCCAGAAACTGGAATATGTGCTTGACTATTCTAGCAACCTCTCATTTCAGTACCAGTGATACCTGGTCTGGCCACATATAGATCTCTTGTCAGGCCCAAATATGATCAGGAATTTCTTATGTTTGAATATAGATTTTGGGTTTGGCCCAAAGTAATGAGAGGGTATTAGATGGGAGATCACATGCACATGCGCACACACATGCACACGGCAAGTCTCCCTAGTCGGCTTCCCAAAGGTTTAGAATGTCAGGGACACTGCACAGTCTGAGCGGTACCAAAGGGCTAGGAAACTGGAAGGTGAATTGCTAGTCATCACACTTCCTGATGCAGTTTTTATGGGCACTAGACATCTTGGGTTGTGAAGCCCTGAGCTCCACGGGGTTGATCCAGTAGGTCTGGAGTAGGGGTAGGAGAAGAGAGTGATCTTAGTTCTGCTATTGAGTCATGCTTTGTGGATGTGGGCAGACCTGCTTTTTCTTAGGGTGACCAGGCCACCCCTGCCTCTGTGGAAGGAGAGGTGAACTGATTGATCCTTTCTTAAGACTGAGTATAAGAATACTTGTGGAGGCCCAACTTTACCTTCAAAAAGCAAGGGTTTCCTTTTAGCAAGTGTGGGCTCCAGATATCTTAAAATTGGATCTTATAATCAAATCTGCTATCCTGTCCAAAAACTTCTGATAGATGGACCATGTGTTGAAGATTCCAGGAATAGGAAGGACTGGTGGAACAGATTCTGCCAGGAATAGCGGCAGAAATACTTCCACAGGTATAGTGATTGTGGGTCTCTAGCTGGGAGAAGTGGGAGCCAAAGGCAAGAATGAGCCTTAAGTGACAGCACTGGCTGGGGTGGGCCCTGACACCATAAATTCCCTTTGTAGTGTCTGCTGTGCCAGGGTTCAGATGCTTAGCTGTGCCTACTGTGGCAGGACTTGACCATCAGTGCCCTCTCATGGCTCCCTGTTCAGCATAATCTAGTCTGAGAAGGCAGTTGTCTGTTACCTAGCAGATCCGTATGCACACAGAACACTCCTCTTCCCCTTGGTAAGGGCAAAATCATGGCCTGTCTCTTTCCTAGAGGTACAGGACATTCCAAAATTCAGAGTTAGAAGCTGACATTAACATGGGAGTTGAAGACAACTCAAGAGATGCCTGGAGGGCCAGATACAATCAATTATTGAACCTAAGTTCTGAGGATTTAGGAGGGCATGAGGCAGCGATTCAAGATAGAAAGCTTGAATGGACCCCGGACAAATACGTGATGAGACGTTCTTTTCTGGAGCTACCTCAGTGGTAGGAGGAAGGCCTGACACTTTGAAAGGGTCGGGGATGGGCCACACAGACAGCAAGTTGGAGCTGAAATGAAGGTTTAAAAGTAGTCAGAAAGTAGCCCACAATTTTAATTCATCTATGCCCTACTTTCTACTGACTGTTGAAATACTGTGAGCTGGTATGAATACATACATAGATTTCTCAGTTTTTGTTGAGGTAAGTTGCTGAAGATAGGTTAGATGTTTATTACATGTTTTTCCCCTCATCTATTTATTTTATTTTCCCTATCTCATCTTTATGTAAGGTCTGGTGTCTTACATCAGAAGATATCAAATTAAGTAACTTTGGATTATATATTAGACAAGCTTTATCTTTGACTTAAGGTTTAATCTTAATACTTAATGTTAACATTTAATATTGTTTTGGGGAATGAGTTGCAGAATAGTTCCTACAAGTTCTCCCAACAAAGTGTACCTCTTAGCTTACGTATTATATACAGATGTTGAGCTTAAACAGGTTGGGTAAAGGGTGCCTGGTGGGCTTAGTTAGAAGAGCATGTAGCTCTTGATCTTGGGGTAGCGAGTACACCCACATTGGGTGTAGAGATTACTAAGAAGATAAATAAACTTAAAAAAAAAAAAAAGGTTGCGTAAAATGGGCAAAGGGTGTGGCTATTTAGCAAACATAGTTACTACAAGTGATACCTAGTTTGCCATCCCTGGATTAAATTTGAGTCATTTGTCTTTGAGCCCCAATTTTCCTTCTGAGGAATGACAGTTATAAACTTAAGCTTTTCTTTATACATTTAGAACAAGCTGCAGAATTGTTCTTGGTAAAGAGGGTGTTCTGGAACATAGAAAGGTGTTTTTTGTTTGTTTGTTTGTTTCTCTCTTTCTGTAGTCTTCGTGTCTAATCTGAAGTTGCCATGACCACAAGGTAGCCTCTGTATCAGAGGGTTTTTTTTTGTCACTAAGTTCAGTTCATGGTCCAAAATTTGTTTGAAGAAATTATAATGTGTCATATTTTCTTTACTTTTCAGTGCAACAGAATGGAGTTCGGCATTGTTCCTATGTAGCTTCCCGGAAACATCTCTATATTGATAAAAATACGAAAGTTATTTGCCAGGGTTTCACTGGTAAGCAGGTATGTGTCAAGATGTTTTATAAAGATGCATATTACAGATACAGAAACATTAAACTATTTTCTGTTTTTTTTTAAGAATCACAAAAGTTATATGATTGTTGCAGAAAAGTATACAGTACAGCGATGGAGTTATATCTTAGGAGGGGGTTTGGTGTGATAGTCAGCCTGTAAGATGAAAATTGTGTTTAAACTTATCTTGAAAATCCCTTCCTACAAGCACATTATGTTGGAAACTCAGATACTCTCTTTCAGCAAGTTTAACACCACTGGTTTTCCTCCAGCTCTGGAGTTCATTACCATTTGTTTAATTAAAAACTAGGTAAAGTAAATGGCTTGTGTCCTGTTAAACACAGGATGGTATGGGGAAATGCTCCAGCCCAGACAGGCGCATGGGAACAGAGACAGACAGAAGCAGCAGCACGCTGACTTGTCTCATCTTATACCTTCTCTAGCCAAATGGTCTTTGAGGGGACTAGCAAGCAAAATTGCCTGAAGTATTTTAATTTGTTCTCATTCATTTATATTCATTGTCTCTCCCTATCCCTGCTTACATCATAGAATTTGCTAAGTTCTAAATATATTTGCAATGTGATTCCACAATAAAATGCAACATAAGAGTGTTCTTTCCCTCTTTCCTATCATTTCACTCCATAATGTATATGCTACATTTATATATAATCTATAAAATAGATTCATAAAAGAAAAATTGAATCTCAAGGTTCTGTGTATTTAGAACTTTAATAGCTATCACTAAGTTACCCTTTAAAACATTTGTACAGATTTGTAGTTCCACCAAAGTAGATGTGGATTTTTTTTTTAAAACAAAGGAATACTACCAAATCAATTAGAAGATAGCTATGAGCCATAACCCAGAGTATCCCTTTCATTATTAAAAGAAGACATGGCAAAATAAAAACAGTTCATGATTTTTTTGTGTGACTTCAAAGTTAATGATTTTTCTGTAATTAAAAGAATTTTCAGGGCGCCTGGGTGGCTCAGTGGGTTAAGCCTCTGCCTTCGGTTCAGGTCATGGTCTCAGGGTCCTGGGATCGGCCCGCATCGGGCTCTCTGCTCAGCAGGGAGCCTGCTTCCCTCTCTCTCTGCCTGCCTCTCTGCCTACTTGTGATCTGTCAAATAAATAAATACACTCTTTAAAAAAAAAAAAAAGAATTTTCATGTCCATTCTGTGGTATTTGGGTATATCCATTCTCTGCTCCTTGCAGAGCAGGAGTCTGCAAGTTTATTCTGGAAAAGGACCAGATGAAAATGTTAGGCATGGTAGGCCATGCTGTATCAACGACCCAAAAGCACTGTAGCAGCAAAAGCAGCCATAGACAGTATGTCAGTGAATGGTGATTGTGTACCAGTAAAACGGTTTCTAAAACCAGTGGCAGGCTAGACCTTTAGGCCATAGTTTTCCAAACTTTGATCTATAGGATAATACCTAAATACCCAAACTTCTGTAACTTTTGTTTTTAAATTGCTTTAAAATTCTACAAGGGTTTTTTTTTTTGTTTTTTGTTTTTTGTTTTTAATGAATTTGGTTGGAAGGTTGTTTCATATAAAATGTCCTTGCACTTTTTGACTTCTTTCTGAAGTAATTGGACATAATATGTGTTATTTTTCTGAAATAACTGGACCTTTTTCTTCTTCTGTTCCTCTACTATCTTAAAAAAAAAAAAAATCCACACCAACAAAAAAAGGAACACCCAAAACTTTGAAATTTTGTTCATAGGTAAAATTGGTTTCATTATTTTGATAGCCATGTATTTTATGAGTATCACTTCCACATCTGTATATTCTAAAGAAAATTGATGCTCATTTAAGATTTGAAGTACGTTGTATTCTTCTGCCAATTAAAATCATATTCAGTCCCTTTTTTATTATATATTAATTGTGTTAGCATATAATCAAGTGTTTTGATTAATCCAAATTCCTCACATAAGTTTATTATATATGTTGTTTTGTTTGTTTGCTAAATTTTATATGATCCTGTGACATCTTAACCTCTGACCTTTTTTTAAAAGAGCCATTGCCCGGAGGCGCCTGGGTGGCTCAGTGGGTTAAACCTCTGCCTTCAGCTCAGGTCATGATCTCAGGGTCCTGGGATGGAGCCCTGCATTGGGCTCTCTGCTCAGCGGGGAGCCTGCTTCCCCCTCTCTCTCTGCCTGCCTCTCTGCCTACTTGTGATCTCTCTTGCTCCGTCAAATAAATAAATAAATCTTAAAAAAAAAAAAAAAAAAGAGCCACTGCCCATGGTGTAAGCAATATTTGGAACTGTTTCTGCTTCCTGAATTAAGTGGTGGTTTGCCTAAATACTGAAATCCAAGATTGGTTTCAGTGTCTTTCAGTTACCTGCAAGTACATTGTTTCTCATTCACTGTTTTTAAATTTAATTAATTGGGAGTTTTACTTGTCTCAGATTTGTGAGTTAAGATTGTATTAGTATAGAGATAACAGTAAGGTCTGAAATTTAGGGTTTATCTTCATAAGAAATCTACATTTTGTCTTGTTAGTTCTTTTATTCAGTGTATACATTGTTCCCCATATGAATGAGGAATATTTGTATTTTGGAGTAGATTTCAATAATGCAGGCTTCCAGTGGGTGGAATTTCTTGTATTGGCTTTAAGATGGTTTGAGCTGCTGAAAGTATCTTTGTTGGTAACTGGTGATGATAGGAAAACAAAGGAAAATAAGCTTACTAACAGGAAATGTCCTTGTTTACCTTGTTTACCATTATATTAGGACTAAAAATTTGGTCCATTTGAATTTATCTAACAAAGTAGTGATCTAGGGCAGTGCTTCTCAAACTGTCTGGAGTGAAAGACCAGTTCAGTTGTCTGTTTGCTTTTAATTTCCAATCTAATGCAGATCAGTGTTTTTTGCAAAATATAGTAAAAGTTGCAGCAATATCATATTGCTATAAAAGTTTGCAAACATTCTCTTTTATTTTGTTTTAATTAATTTAATTTTTCTCTTCTTATTTTTTCATTTTTTATTCTTTCCCTTGTTTTTTGTAATTTTTTATTCTTTTTCTTTTTGTGTTTATCTCATTGCAGATCAGCAGGGGTCTACAGATTACACTTTGAATAGCACCACTTAAAGAGAGAGCATTGGCTTGTGGTTCTTTTCAAAACTCCATCATTAACTTTAGACAAGTTAGTTAACATGCTTGAGGCTAAGTTTCCTGTTTTGAAAAACGGAGAAGTTGAATCAGGAAATTTCTGAAGTCCCTCTTAGCCCCAACTATTAGGCCTTCAATAGAACTTGAGTAGTTGGGTTTGCATTTTGAGGTCCCTATAGAATGACCACGTAGCCATTCAGTTTCAACAATTGCTTATTGAATGTCTACTATATGTCATGTGTTGGGTTAGGTACCACCTCTCAGTGTACAAAGTAGACAGAATCACTTCCTTCGTGTAATTTACATTTTAGTGGTGGGAGGGAAAGAAACATACCAACAAAATCAACCAACAGAGCATACCACAAAATTATGTGGTATATTAGAAAGTATAAATGCTGTGGAAAAAATAAACCAGAGGTAGAGATGTGTGACTGTGTGCAGAGGTGTGATCAGGATGGGGAAGGGGGAATTTTATGTTAGGTGGTCAGGGGAACCCTGACCTTAGTCAAGATCTAAGGGAAATGTGGGAGTAAAGCAGTGGATATGAAGGGAAGTGCATTCAAGGCAAAAGAGATAGCAAGGCCTGGAGGCAAGACTGTGCCTGTTGTGTGTGGAAGTCATAAGACCAGGGTGACTGGAGTGAAATGAGCAGTGGGAGAACAGTAAATGAGGCCAAGCAGTTAAGGAGTTTTGATGTGAGGATGTAGGCTGAATATTGACTTAGGAGTCAGTATAAGGAGTTTGGCTTTTACTGTGAAAGAAGTGGAAAGTCCCTGGACAGTTATGATCAGAGGAATGATACGATCTTGCTTATGTCTTAACAGCATTACTCTGGCTGCTGTGTTGAGAATAGATGAAAGGGAGCCAGGGGCAGTATTCTGTCAAGAGTTGATGATGACTTAGACCAGCATGGTAGCAGTAGAAGGGATTGAGACATTGTCAGTTATATTTTGAAGGTAGTGCAATCGTGTGCCTGATGTGAGATAGAGAATCAAGGATAGCTTCAGTGTTTTTGTTCTGAACATCTGTTAAGAGTGGAATTGTCATTAACCAAGATGGGGTGGAGTGTGGTGAGGAATGATTAGGAATTTGGTTTTTGGCACATCAAGTTTGAGATGCCTGCTAGTTCTCCAAGTGGAGATGTGACATAGTCAGTCGACAGTGTGGGTTTAGAGCTCAAGGCAAAGGTCCAGGCTGGGTACGTGTGTGTGTGTGTGTGTGTGTGTGTGTGTGTGTGTGTGTGAAGGGTCGCCGTATGAATGGTGTTTACTGCCCTGATAGGGGATGAGATCACCAAGGGTACAAATTTGTATGAAAAAGAGAAGTCTGAGGAGAGAAAAAGAGAAGAGGAAAACCAGGGGAGGTAGAGCCCTTGAAGCCTAGTGAAAAATAATCTTTCAGTTTGTGGAGATATTTTGGGTTGTCACAACAGCTGGTAGGGGTGGAGAGGAAGGCATCGTACTGGGATCTACCGAGTAGGGGCCAGGGATGCTGCTAAACCTCATACATAGCGCAGGACAAGCTCCCATAACAATCCGTGTTACCAAATGTCTGTAGAGCCGAGGTTGAGGAGGGAGAGCGGTGGATAGCAAACTACAGGCTATCGGCCGGGCAGCATTAAAAGCTCACCTAAGGTTAGTGATCATTGATTTAAAGTGAGACCAGTTATCCTGTTCTGTTTTCTGTCCAGCTTCTGCTTGGCTGCACATGCGCAGTCTTACTTAGAGTATGTAGGGGACTGGATTTAACCAAGATTGTGGTTTTGCCAGATGTGGAAGTTGAAGTGAGAGAGAGCCAAGGTTGTTGTGGATTTATAATGGCTGCCAATGGATTTTAAGCTGCGGATGTGAGGATATCAAGACTTGACAGAGGAACAGTGAAAAGGAGGGATTTTTAAGTAAACACATGGGTGTTTCTGACCATCAGCCATATTTGAAGATGGAATGAAAAAGATCCTCTTTTATTTTTTATTTTTTTAAAGATTTTATTTATTTATTTAACAGAGTAAGAGAGAGATCACAAGGAGGCAGAGAGGCAGGCAGAGGGGAGGCAGGCCCCCTCCTGAGCAGAGAGCCCGATGCGGTGCTCGATCCTAGGACACTGAGATCATGACCTGAGCCGAAGGCAGAGGCTTAACCCACTGAGCCACCTAGGTGCCCCAAAAGATCCTCCTTTAAAAAAAAAAACAAAACCAAAAACTCCTATTTTGGCTTTGCAGAGGATTGTGTTGTTTCAAGGTTCAAAGCTGGGTTTAGCAGGTTGTTGAGAATGCTGGATATATGCATCTATCACATTCTGTGAAATAGTTAACCTATTTGTTTTTCTCTTCCAGGTTGCTGAATATTGCCTTCTGGCTTCCCAGCCTGTCTTTTCTCATGAGCCTTGTGTTTTTTCCCCATAGGGCACCTTTCATAGCCAGCAGGCATTGGATTATGGCACCCAGTTGGTCGGAGGAACCACTCCAGGGAAAGGAGGCCAGACACATCTGGGCTTACCAGTCTTTAATACTGTGAAGGAGGTAATTAATGGTACTGAGTTTGCTAAGCAAAGAAAAGCAGGAGAAGAGCAAGCATACTTTGTTGTTGTGGTTAATTTTTTTCTTTTTAAGATTTTATTTATTTATGTGACAGAGAGAGAGAGGCTGGGAGAGAGGGAACATAATCAGGGGAAGTGGAAGGGGGAGAAGCAGGCTTCCTGCTGAGCAGGCAGCCTGATTCTGTACTCATCCCAGGTCTCCAGGATCATGACCTAAGCTGAAGGCAGCCGCTTAATAACTGAGCCACCCAGGTGCCCCAGAGCAAGCATACTTTGAAGAGAGATTTTTTTTTTTTTTTTTTAAGATTACTTATTTATTTGACAGACACCACAAGAAGGCAGAGAGGCAGGCAGAGAAAGAGAGAGGAAGAAGCAGGCTCCTGGCTGAGTAGAGAGCCCTACGTGGGGCTCGATCCCAGGACCCTGGGATCATGACCTGAGCCGAAGGCAGAGGCTTTAACCCACTGAGCCACCCAGGCGCCCCTTGAATAGAGATTTTAATTGTGTCCCTTCTGGGAGAGTCACTTGCGATTTTAAAATCCAGTAACGTAAAGAAATTTGAATCCCAGTAAAAACCTCTGGGTTTACTTTAGTCACGCAGACTCAGGATGCCTTCCCCTCACCTGTGTCCTTTTGTTGGGCATAGTTCCGCTGTGAAGAGAAGTGCTGTAGCTTGGCTTCCATTTGGCTTCTTCTCCTTTCCTTACTCTTTTATTTCCAGGATGTTAGCAGTGCACATGTCAGCATCCAGCCTCTAACACTGACTGAGAACAGACTGTGTGCCAGGCCCTGTGCCAGGTGCTTCGTAGACATTGCTCATTGAGGCCTTCCCATGACCCCCTGAGGTGCAGGTGTTATCCCTCTCCCCATTTTAAAGACAAGGGTACTGTAAACTCAGAGAGGTTAAGGGTCTTGTCCATAGTTCATAGCTGCGAAGTGGCAGATATCACGGCTCAGTGTAAGTAGGATGGTGATTCTGCCTGAAAAAAACTGAGCTGTGAAGTCAGACAGACAAGTCACAGAGCCCTAGTCTCTTCCCCAAACTGCTGATCTCTTAGTACTTTTTAAAGTTGTTTTTTTTTTTTTAAATCCAAGTAGGCAGAGAGGCAGGCAGACAGAGAGGAGGAAGCAGGCTCCCTGCTGAGCAGAGAGCCCGATGTGGGACTTGATCCCAGGACCCTGGGATCATGACTTGAGCCGAAGGCAGAGGTTTTAACCCACTGAGCCACCCAGGCGCCCCACTTTTTAAAGTATTTTGAACAAAATTTAATTGTGTTACAAAATTAATAATGTGCTTATTGTAAATTCTTAGATGATATAAATATATGTAAAGTTAAATTTTATGGAGCTTTCCATGTCTCAGATTTTGCCTTTCTAGAGAGCTTGTGTAAGCTCTGTGTGTATTCCTTCATTCTCTTTCTACACTTGCATGAATATATAGAAAAATAATCATATTATAAAAGAAACTGTGGTACAAAGTCTTGCCTATGTAATAAAAAAGAATCTAGGAAATAAACTTAGTACTTGGGACTGATGTATTGATGATAAAAGAGGTATCCCGCCCCCTCTTCTTAAACATCGTTTTAAGGCATGTTTTAAAGTATCACTTTTTTTTTTAAATACAAATTTATAGACTCAATACCTTTTTTAGAATACTAACTTCGGATTGAAGTTAATTTGTATTCTTGATCCTAAAATGTGGGAAAAAACCCAAATATTCAAATGTGGAATTTTCATTTTACTTTAAACTTGAAAATAGAGTGTACTATATGTGTGTATGTATGTTCTAAGTGTACTGTATTTTAAAGAGTAAAAAAAAATTAAAATTGTATGTTCTGTAAAAGAATCATTTAAAGTCTTTTTGCTTTAACTTTTGGGTGTTTCCCCACACCCCGTAAGTTTTCCTGTGACTGCCTTCATGACCTCAAAATACAGAAAAGAGCTGTTTTCATAATTCCTCTAGGTAGATTTGACTTTTTCATGAGCCTTTTTTGCTTTCTTTTAAAGAAAGTTTTTGTTGCTGAGCAACTCATTTATTATTCATCATGACTCAAATGGATATGACATTGGCAGTATTTTGTAAGTTCTCTGACAGATACTATATTTCTCACCTGTTTAGCACTTACGAAAAGCTTTCTGAATGATTCAGAAAGCTTTTCTGAATCCAGTATCGCTTGTTAGCACAGACCCTGTTGTCGTAGTTAGCTTCTGGCAGTATTTGTAGCCTTAAGAGGTGGAAGACTGCAAGATATATTTTCCAAAAAAAATACCTACATGCCTATGATCTGACTCCTTTTGCTTCCAACCTACGTTTTATTTTATTTTTTTTTTGTACCCTCTTCTCTGTTACCACGTTGAATAGAGTTTAAATATTTTTTTTTTAAGATTTTTATTTATTTATTTGACAGAGAGAGATCACAAGTAGACGGAGAGGCAGGCAGAGAGAGAGAGAGGGAAGCAGGCTCCCCGCTGAGCAGAGAGCCCAATGCGGGACTCGATCCCAGGACCCTGAGATCATGACCTGAGCCAAAGGCAGCGGCTTAACCCACTGAGCCACCCAGGCGCCCCTAAATACTATTTTTTTTTTTTTTTAAGATTTTATTTATTTCTTTGACAGAGACAGATCAGAAGTAGGCAGAGAGGAAGGCAGAGAGAGGAGGAAGCAGGCTCCCTGCTGAGCAGAGAGCCCGACGCGGGACTCGATCCCAGGACCCTGAGATCACGACCTGAGCTGAAGGCAGAGGCTTTAACCCACTGAGCCACCCAGGCGCCCCTAAATACTATTTTTAACCTCTGGCATCGTTTCTTGATGATGTGACTCTGTTCTTCTGTCAGTGTCAAGATCCCCCTTTTTAACAGAGCTGTTAGAGAGAAAGCTCCTTGGTCTCTGGGGATGGGGAGTCGTTCAGGGATGCTTCTGAAAGTCACTTTTACTTCTGCCCCTTCTAGTTGTACCTGTATGCTCCATAGCTTAGTATTTCTTCCACTGTAAAATTCCATGACACAGCCTTCTTAAAGGTTTTGATTTCTATCTTGATTAAGTTATATTTTAACATTTATAGGGAGGCAGCCTGCTGTCACTGAAAAGAACAGACATTTTGGAATCAGAGATACTTAGATCTGAATCTTGGCTCTGCCACTCATTTCCTAGCTATGTGATCTTGTGTAAGTTATTTACCGTCTTTTGGCCACAGCATCTTGATTTGTAGATGGGGATACTAAGCATACAGGGTTGTGGTGAGGCCTTAACAAGACCTGTCTTGAGCCGTCTTTCAGGGTCTCTCAGAGAACAGGTACTGTCTCTCTTGGAGAGTCAGAGATCACTGACAGTATCTGTCTTCAAGGAGCTTCCATTACATTAGAGGAGATGAGACCACACATAGAGTTGGGGAGAAGGAGACATTGTATTGATACATGTGGAGGGTATGTGGAGACCACGGAGAGAACCATGGTCAAACCGGTGGTCTTAAGTGCTTTGCATTTGTTGGGGGGTGATGAGGGGTAGACACTAATGCTTATTTGGCCCACATTCTCATTCTGTGGCCATTTATGCATTTGTACTTTAGTTCATTTTTAATTAACATGCATTTAGAGTAAAAGTTGTGAGCATAAAAACCACATCATTTTTGACGTCTCTTGATAATATTATCAAGTATGATATGTTTTGAGGAGTTGTGTGAGAGCTGAGTTCTGAGGCTCGGCAGCTTACTCATCCCTTTGCTCCTGGGGAGGTATAGGGTCTTCGGTACTGAACAGGTGATATGGTGTCTTGTAGGGCAACAAAAATAAACAATGGCCACAGGAATGAGAGGACACAAACGCACATCAGCCCTGCTTTCAGGTTTCCTGAAATGCCATCGCCTGAGGGAACGGGGTGTCACAGAACCTTTCAATTCAGACTGGCAGTCCACAGGGTGGGGGCAGAGAGGAGGCCCTGAGGCTCTGCTTGGTTCTGCTCTTTTCTGACAGTGCAGTGAACTTGCTAATGGGAAGAATGAAGACATCCAATGTCTCCTGGTGGTGTCCTTTCCTGATGCCCAGACATTATTAAAATCATGGTATTGAATGCATTTTTACAGTGTTTACAACTTAACACATAATAAAGGGCTTCATGGTTAATGTTTCAGGCCAAAGAAAAGACAGGAGCGACAGCTTCTGTCATATATGTTCCTCCTCCTTTCGCTGCTGCTGCCATCAATGAAGCCGTCGAAGCAGAAATACCCTTGGTCGTGTGCATTACCGAAGGTATCCCACAGCAGGACATGGTGCGGGTCAAGCACAAACTATTGCGCCAGGGAAAGACGAGGTTGATCGGGCCTAACTGCCCTGGAATCATCAATGTAAGTGTCACAAACCAAAATAGGCCTGGACTTAGGATTTCAGAAGGCTAATTAGCTTTCAATCGGGCCAACTGTGTTTGTGTGTATGACCTGTTAGTTACTGGTTGTTGTGGTTTTTTTTGTTTTTTTTTTTTTTCTTCATTTTTCTGAAACACTGATTTCCTTTCCTTCAGCCTGGAGAATGCAAAATCGGCATCATGCCTGGCCATATTCACAAGAAAGGAAGAATTGGTATGTTTCTTATAGATTTAAAAAAAAAAAATTCTTTGCCCTAAGCTCAAAATTCACCAAGAGAATTTGTGACAGTGCAAATGTAATTTATTTTAATTAACCGTAGTGGAATTTACCAGGGAGGTCTGTAGTGAATCAGTTCTGTATCCTGCGTTGGATGAGATTAAGAATCCATAATAATTCTGCAGAGTCAATGAAGATATTTTTTGGAGTTTTTGAAGATTGTTTTCCTGCTCAGCATGTTATGGTTTCTTCCATGTGTTCGCATGTATTTGTAGTTTATTTCATTTTACTGCTAAGTAATACTCTGTTGTGTGATTCTGCCACAGTTTGTTCATTCTCCTGTTGATGAGCATTTGGGTTGTTTCCAGGTTTGAATCGTTATGAATAAGGCTAAGGTGACAATTGTGTAGAGGTCTTTCAGTGGACACCTGTTCATTTCCCTTGGGTAAAATTCTTAAGAATGGAATCACTAAGTCATAGGTTTGAAGCATGTGTAACTTTTTAAGAAATCGCCCAGTAGGGGCACCTGGGTGGCTCAGTGGGTTAAAACCTCTGCCTTTGGCTCAGGTCATGATCCCAGGATCCTGGGATCGAGCCCCACATCGGGCTCTCTGCTCTGCGGGGAGCCTGCTTCCTCCTCTCTCTCTGCCTGCCTCTCTGCCTACTTGTGATCTCTGTCAAATAAATAAATAAATAAATGAAAGAAAGAAAGAAATCGCCCAGTAGTTCTGTGAAGTGGCTATTCATTTTACATTTCCACCATCAGTATATGAAAGTTCCAGTCCATATCTTCGCAGACATTTAGTATTCTCAGTCTTTATTTTTAGCCATTCTGCTAGGAGTGAAATGGTGTCTCATGGTTTTCATTTGACTTTCCCTGGCAACTAGTGATGTAGAGCACTGTCTCGTGTGCTTATAGGCTATTTATATAGCTTCTTTTGTGAATTATCAGTTCAAGTTTTTTGCACATTTTTTATTGGGTTGTCTTTTTATTGTTGATTGTAGCGAGGGCTTCTGTAAATATTCTGGATGTAAGTCCTTTTAAGTATATATACATGCTTTGAATATTTTTATTGTTCGTCTTTCTATAATCTGGTCTTTCAGTGACTTTGCCCTGTAGGATATCACAAACTTTCTCAAAATGTCTAGCGAAAATTCTTGTTTAGTTCCTCAAGGAAATAACCAAATTAACATTGTGGGGGTGAAGAGGAGCTCATTATCGGCTGGCATAGATGAAAGTCCTGGTGCGCCTGGATGGCTCAGAGGGTTAAGCCTCTGCCTTCGGCTCAGGTCATGATCTCAGGGTCCTGGGGTCGAGCCCTGCATTGGGCTCTCTGCTCAGCGGGGAGTCTGCTTCCCCCTCTCTCTCTGCCTGCCTCTCTGCCTACTTGTGATCTCTCTCTGTCAGATACGTAAATAAAATATTAAAAAAAAAATAGTTTTAAAAAAAGAAAGTCCTGACTGCCTACTTGACCTTCTCTTTCACCAACCTGGCTGGCATGTTGGGGTGCCTCAGTGTAGCCTCCTAAGTCTAGAGGTCTCGGAATCCCTTTGGCCTTTGCCCATGTGAGTGAGGGTGGAGGCACAGTTATTTTCTGTAGTGTTAAGTTAGTACAGAGTGGTTATTGTCTCAAAAGTTTTCTGTTTTGGGGTGCCTGGGTGGCTCAGTTGGTTAAGCGTCTTAACCTTTAGCGTCTGCCTTCAGCTCGGGTCATGATCCCAGGGTCCTGGGATTGAGCCCCACATCAAACTCCCTGCTCAGTGGGGAATCTACTTTTCCCTCTCTGCCTGCCGCTCTACCTACTTGTGCTCTTTCTCTGTCTCCAATAAATAAATAAAATCTTTAAAAAAAAAAAAAAGTTCTCTGTTTTGCTAGGTTGTCCTTGGTTCTTTTGCTAGAGTGAGCAGGCTTTTGGGGTAAACTTTTTTCCTGTACCCTTCTGTTTGTGGGATGCTGGCTTTCGCTCTGTATCTGGGATGCATGAAGCAAAAGGAAACCCCGGGAACTCACCAGTGTTTCATTCCTCTAGTCTGGAGGTCCCTAGCCACTTTGCCTCCTTTTATCTCTTAGTGATTTCTTGTATTTATTTTACATATAATGCCCAGGGTTTTTAGTTGTACTTAACAGGAAGAATAGAGGAAAGTAATTCTACTTTTCAGAAGCAGAAGTATCCTTGTGAATAGGTATTTTTAAGTGCTAGCCTTTTTTACTATATATACTTTAAGAATGACAGGAGTAAACTACCCTAAAAACATGATTTTCGTTACCTTCAGTGTATGCAGTTTGCATTTATGTAATTTACATATCATTTATATAATCAGATGAAAGCCCCTTAGAAGAATGATAACATCCTGGTATTCACTGGTTATTACATTGATCCATCACCAGACTAGAATAAATAAAATAGTTGTTTTTCCCAATAATCTAGGATGTTGAGTGGATACCTAGACCATAATCGTACCACAAGAGTCAAGTAGGAAGAGTGGAAAGGAGACTAGACAATCATACACAAGATGTACAACTAAGAAATTACCAACTATACTTTGTTTAAACAAAGCTAAATGTATTGAATACAGAGGTAGGTAGGTATTTACCTACCCAATCTTCTCAGTTATGAAATGTCCTACAGAGGAAGGACTGTAGTAAGGAGACAGTGTGTAGATGGAGAGAAAGCTTAGACAATAAGACAGAACTGATGAATGAGACAGATGGGGGATGGTGGTAGTGATTGTCATTTGTCATGAATTAGGGTCCAGTGATTGAATGGCCTTAAAACTATTGGAATTAGGTTTTGCTTAAGAGGAAGGTTGTATTCCATTGAAGGGTTTTCAGCTTTGAGCCGTTCAGGTAAGTATTGAGCTCCTTCTGTGTAGGATCTGTGTTCAGTACTGTGAACACAGGAGTGGGGAGAAGCAGCGTTGTTCTAAGAGGGCAATCGAACAGCATTCCGTAGGGTACTAGCAGTGCCAAGATACACACATGTCTTTCAGTTTGATTAGTTGGTGCAGACAGTCTGGTTATGTACACTCGAATTCATAGTGAGAAGCTAGGTATTTATGCACTGATTTTACACTTGTTGATTTGGATGACAAATTGTGGAATGGATTCTTTTATGTACTTGTATCTGTAACATGATAGACTATGATAGGGACACAATCTGATACTTTAAAATTCTCTTCCTTTAAGGTATTGTGTCCAGATCTGGCACCCTGACTTATGAAGCGGTTCACCAAACGACACAAGTTGGATTGGGGCAGTCTTTGTGTGTTGGTAAGAGATTTTTGATAGAATCATGTTATTATAATGCAGTAACTTCATTGAATGAGTACAGTAATAATTATTGTTTTGGTTATTTGCAGGAGGTTTTGATAACCATTTTATTAAAAAAGATGTTAAGATCTTAAATTTACTTAGTCTCAGTGTGAGGCACCATCCTATATTTTTAAGATTCATGGTCTAAGGCTTGACTTGCTTGTTGTGGAACAAGCATCGTGGGACACGTGCCCTGAAGAGCCTTGGTGCCTGAAAACATCACTTCCTTAGCTTGTAATGAAGAAATATTTCTTCATGTTAGGGCTTTGATTACTATAATTATCATTGTTACTGTAAGCTATCATTCAGTGCTTCCTAGTTACTGAATTCTTTGCCATTTGTTATCTCATTCTTAAGGCAACCCTGAGGCACCTGTGAGCTGAAAAGTTGTACTATTACAGCTTTAGTCGTGAGAAAAATCTACAGTTGAGATCCCCAGAACTTCTCTTTTTGCTACATTATATTGCCTACCACTTTTAAAAGTTGCTAGAAGTGAGGCAGATTTCTCATTTTTATAAATATATCTTCAAATTTTTAGAGTAACTGTAAAAAGACTTTAAAAAATAGCTTCTCATATAGTAAATTATAAAATAGAGCCCTGGACTCTTTTTATTAGGATTCAGCCCCATAAAATCAATATTGGAAATAGTAATTGAGCTTCTCTATGTACAAAGTATAATCTTAGCCACAGAGTAACTTAGTGTGATGGAGAATAAGAAAAGGTTTGGAACAGAATTGCAAAATTCATATTCTCCAGCTTCTGTCTCTAATTTGTAAGTTGCTGATACTAATGCTTATTTCACAGAGAGGCTGGAAGAATTAGGAAGTGGCAGGTCTAAATGTGCTGGGGCATGTACTTGACATACAGTTGGCACTCAATAAATGCTGCTTCTCTTCCTCGGCTTCGTTCTTCAGAGGTGCATTGAGAAGTAGGAGATCAGTCCTGCCTTAAATGTGTGTGTTTGTGGTCTCACTCACCCTGGATCTAAGGGAAGAGGGGTCAGTGTACCCTCAACTCTGTCTCTCATTGGGACTTGTGTCTTAAAAGTTGCGTGTGGTTTCTCTGCAATGCGCCACATCTTATAGTTACTTTGTGCAAAGACATTTGTAAAATGTTTAATTAGAGAAGAGACAATCTTCCTTGCTTGCAACATAAACACACTTTTTCTTAAAATGCCCATTTTAAAAGAGTTGTTTGGGGTTAATTTCGTGGGAGGAAGGAAGCTTGATGAAAGAGCAAAAACAAAAAGAAGGTTGTCTTTGTGAATATCCGAAATCAGCTACGATTTAGCATTCATGTAATAATCAGGAACAGAAATAAACGTAGCACTTTGTGATTTTTTTAAAATATTAAATGCAAGAGTGATGATGCATCTTAAAACATTGGTGAGAGCGGTAGACAAAGTAAGAAATGAGTTGAAACAACATTTCCTGGCCTAATTTGTAAGATTCATCCTTAAATTTTCAGCTGATGTTGGTATTCTTTGACTTTTTCAGGCATTGGGGGTGATCCTTTTAATGGCACGGATTTTATTGACTGCCTTGAAATCTTCCTGAATGATCCAGCCACAGAAGGCATCATATTAATTGGTGAAATTGGTGGTAATGCAGAAGAAAATGCTGCAGAATTTTTGAAGCAACATAATTCAGTGAGTTTGGGTTTGGGTTTGGAAAAATGTAGCTCTTCACACACAGTTGGCACTTGGTGAGCTTGTCAGGGCAATGCTGCTGTTGAATCTCACTCTCCTGCCGTGGCTATCGCAGAGACTACCAGCCGCCTCCGCTCCTTCTTCCTCCTCTCTGTCCTCTTGGTCTTTCTGCTGTTTGTTCTCATCTTAATTTTTCCCTGGGTGTACTTTCCGTGGCCGGTTCCTTTAGTGTGAATGGATCTTGTATATAAACATCATACTTCATGTAGTTTCCAAGGCAGAAACCTCAGAAGCATCTTTTACTTCTCTCTCTCCTGTTTCCACCTGTTTACCAAGCTCTATCCTCAGTAGTATGTTGAGACTCAGAGCGTGTCTGTAATTCATCCCTCTGCTCTGGTTCAAACTACCGTCTTCTTCCCTGGACCATGTCAGTAGTTTCTTCCTGAAAATCTCAACTCCCGCCACCACCCCTTCCTTCTCTCTGAGGCCATCCTGCTCCGGCCACCCAGATTGTCTGCCCTTCTGAAACTCAGACATGGGCGCCTCTTACCGCCTGGTTTTAAACCGTGACAGTTTCCCACCACACATAGGATAAAGTGTGGACTTAGCATGGTATTCTAGTGCCTAGACACCTCTCTGGCTCTCTTCTTCACATCCATGTCCCACCTGACCTTCCAGTTGTTTTCATTCTCACTTGCCTTTGCTCATTCCCTCTGCGAGGTATGCTTAATATCCCATTCTAGCCTCTCTCTGGGGCGACAGGGACTGTTGTACCTTGGTGACCAACCCATTCCCTTTACACATTAGACACCAGTAAGTGGTGGATACGGAAAGAATAAAGTAGATTGTCAGGAGTTTGGGGTAAAATGTTACTAGAGTCTCTTAAATTCAGAGAAGCTATAAAGTTTGAAATTCAAGTAAAAATTGACTTCTTTTTAGGAAAGATTTGGGTTAATATGACATTATGCTATATTCAGGTAAATTTTAAAATGTATTTAGGCTCAACTCTGGATCCCTTGAGTAGCTTAGAATTTAGTGGAGAAAGCTAAGCATATATATTTTATTTCATTTGGCATATGTTTTCCTTTTCCTGGTTAGTTCCTGTGGGACAAATTTTATTTTTTTATTAACATATAATATATTATTTGCCCCAGAGGTACAGGTCTGTGAATCATCAGGCTTACATTTCACAGCACTCATTGTACCACATACCCTCCCCAGTGTCCATAACCCAGCCACTGTAACCCTCCCCCTGCCACAACCCTCAGTTTGTTGCCTAAAATTAAGAGTCTCTTATGGTTTGTCTCCCTCCCAATCCCATCTTGTTTCATTTTTTCCCTCCCTACCCCCGACGCCCCCGACCTGCCTCTTAGATTCCTCATATCAGAGTGATCATATGATAATTAACTTTTTCTGATTGACTTGTGTCACTCAGCATAATACCCTCTAGTTCCATCCACGTGGTTGCAAATGGCAAGATTTCGTTTCTTTTGATGGCTGCATAGTATTTCACTGTATATATGTACCACATCTTCTTTATCCATTCATCTGTTGATGGACATCTAGGTTCTTTCCATAGTTTGACTATTGTGGACATTGCTGCTATAAACATTCGGGTGCACGTGCCCCTTCAGATCACTATATTTATATCTTTAGGGTAAATACTCAATAGTGCGATTGCTGGGTCATAGGTTAGCTCTACTTTCAGCTTTTTGAGGAACCTCCATACTGTCTTCCAGAGTGGCTGCACCAGCTTGCATTCCCACCAACAGTGTAGGAGGGTTCCCCTTTCTCGGCATCCTCGCCAACATCTGTCGTTTCCTGACTTGTTCATTTTAGCCATTCTGACTGCTGTGAAGTAGTATTTCACTGTGGTTTTGATTTGGGGCGAATTTTTATTAAGGGCCTACGGTGTACAAGATTCTAGGTTGAACACGTGACATAAAACACTTAGCACAGTCCCTGGCACAGAGTGAATACTTAGTAGTGTTATCTGCTGCCACCACTGCTGTTTTTATTATTATCATCATTATGACAATACTTATTTGTAAAATTGGTGTTGTTTAATCTTGACCCTTTGGGTAAGGTGTTTTGTCCTTTTATGAATAAGGCAGCTGGCACAGAGAGGTTAATGACTTGCCAGTGGTAGGTATACAGCAAATGAACTAAGGGTGGGATCCATCCCAGGTCTGACTCATTCATGTAATAATTCATTCATTGCATCATGGAGGGCTCAGGAATCAGAATTCAGGATTCTGGAATCAGAATGCAGGGATTCAGGAAAAGGGTCACCAGCCCTGGGCCTCTGCTTGGACTATACTGACATCATCCTAACTGGTCTGTTTCTCATCATTTCTGTATCCTGTTTTCAGATCATACTTCTTCATAGTCTTTTTAATTTTATTTTTCTCTCCTTAAGAAATTTCAAGTGACTCTCCTTTGTTCATAGGACAGAATATAAACTTGTCTGACATTCTAGGTTCATTGAAATCTTATTTCCTTCTAGTACAGTATTCTTTTTCTGTGAGTATGGAGACAAAGGGATCAAGTAGAAATTAGTGCCATTTAAATACGGGATGTTCATAACTCTCCAGAGCCCACGAGTGAATGAATAAGTGACTTGTAGAGTCTTCTCTTTTGAATTCTGTACCACTGTTGGTGCTGGGCATATGGAAATAAGTGAGAACATAGTTCCTGTGTTCAGGGAATTCATAGTTTGGGAGGGGAACACGCGGGAAATGAGTCACAGCCGCTGTACTTAGTGTAATAGTTGGACCTTGTCGAAGGCACAGCTTTGACATCCCTGAACAGAAGATGGTTTCCACAAGGGTGTTTGTGGAGACGGTAGGAGGAAGAGTCAGAAGGGCTTATTGGGGAAGAGGAGGCTTGATCCAGGTCTCAGAGTTAAGTAGAAATTGGCCAGGTGTCCAAGGAGTGGGGAGAACATTCTCTGCAGAGGAGCAGAGGCGGAGCAGCCTGGAATTACTGGAAGACAAAGAGCAGGGAGAAATGGTGGGAGATGAGGCTGGAGTAAGCAGTGTCAGCCCACGCAGAACCTGGCATGCTGGCACCATACCACAGAGCTGGGCAGTGGAAGCAACTGTTCTAATCATTCACTGGCACATAGAGTTAGAAAAACAAAACCAAACCACTTTTCTTTAAGAATGTCCTTGATGAAGCCGTAAAAAGTGTTAATTTTATTAAATCCTAACCCATGAGTCCGTATTTTGTGATGAAGTGGGAGGTAAAGCACCTTCCCAATTGAGCTATGGACTAGCTGTTTTTTTCGTGGAACACCATTTACTCTCAGGAAAATTGGCAAGCAAACTAGTTGTTCAGACTGGGGTATTTGGCAGACCTTTTCTCAAAAACGAACAGAGTGAACCTGCCATAGCAAGGAAAACTATTTACAGTATTTATTGACTGATAAAATTTGAGCTATCAAGTGAATATTCATAAATCAGAAAATTGTTTCTGCCACTGAACTTGATCACTTCCTCCTACTAAAGACTTTGAACCTGATAATGATGACTATGATTTGTTGATATTGAATAATGAAATGTATCAGCATTTAGAAGATGTGCATAACTCAGTAATCCTGTATTATTCGTCTAATGAATATTAGAAAAAAAAGATACATTCCATGGATTTTAAAATAGCAAAGGACAGAAAGTACATTGCTATGGTTTCAGATTCCAACATTGCAACTAACCCTAAGAAATTACGACTTGAAGAGGTTTGTGTAGTATCAAAGAAGAATATCCACAGGCTATTAAAATTCTTCCCCTTTTCAAACCATGTATGTGTTTGAGTCCAGATTTTCTCTTAGTTCAGCCAAAATAACATATTGTATATAGATTGAATGCAAAAAGCAGATATCAGAGTCCATTTGCCTTTTGTTAAATTTGACATTCAAGAATTAGAAAAATGTAAAATAATGCCACACTTCTTACTAGAATGTTTTTAAAAATAGTTTTATTTTTATTTTTTATTTTTTTATTTAAAAACAAATTTTTTTTTATTTTATTTATTTAACAGAGAGACAGATCACAGAGGCAGAGAAGCAGGCAGAGAGAGAGAGAGGAGAAAGCAGGCTCCCCGCGGAGCAGAGAGCCCGACATGGGGCTCAATCCCAGGACCCTGAGACCATGACCCGAGCCGAAGTCAGAGGCTTTAACCCACTGAGGCACCCAGGTGCCCCACTTAGTTTTCATTTCTAATACAGGAAATACCAGATATGATCTACATAAAAAATAGTTCTTTGGGATTCTCAATTGTTTTTGTGAGGGTAAGGGGTTCTAAGACCAAATGATTTGAGAATTGCTGGCTGAGGGGAGGGTGATGGTACCTAATGAAGGCACTCAGGTTCTGCTTGTGTTCAGTTCTGCTTTGTACAGGCCTCTCTGGATACCTTGCTGCCTCTGGACTCCTATGATGAACATGATATTTTCCCTCACTGTGAAATTTAGACACAGATTCAAAAAAATTTTTGGTAATCTCTTAACTAATCAGTAATATATTATTTTTTAAAAAGATTTTATTTATTTATTTGACAGAGAGAGGGAGAGAGAGAGAGAGATCACAAGTAGGCAGAGAGGCAGGCAGAGAGATGGGGTTAGAAGCAGGCTCCCTGCTGAGGAGAGAGCCCAATGCAGGGCTCGATCCCAGGACCCTGAGATCATGACCCAAGCTGAAGGCAGAGGCCTAACCCACTGAGCCACCCAGGCACCCCAATATATTATTTCTTTAACTGTATTTTAAGTCTAGAGCACAGGAATCCTTATATTTCCCATGTGGCTTTTAATTTTTAGCCTCAGAATCTAGCATAGTGCTCTTTATCTACATAGAGTTTGCATATTAGAATGGATTTTTATTAAATAAAACTAGTCCTGATCTTCCTTAGACTTCATAGAACTTCAGAGGAGAAGGGAACCCTTGGCCATCATTCTGGTTTAGCTATTTCATTTCATAGATGAGGAATCAGAGGTTTACAGAGCTGATGTGTCTTGTCCAAGGTCAACCAGCTTTAGTCAACAGCAAATTGAATCTGGTGACTTCCAGTCCTGCATCTTTTCCAGTATACCTTACCACCTCATCTTCTTCCTTCTAGCAAATTTATTATGGGTAAACTAATAATGAATTAAGACATAAATTCAGGTTGAAATAAAACAACCTAATCTAGTGTCTTAAGTTATTATTATCACAAATTACATAACATGTTTTAAAGTGTGCTTTTTTTTTTTTTTTTCAAATAGAAGAATCACATATATGTTGGTAAAATAGCTTGTAGCCAGTGAAGTTGACGTTTAATATCTAGACAAAAACTTTGCTCAGGATTGTTTTCCCAAGTTCATATGAAAAGTTATCTCAAAGGTGAATGCAGTGGTTTCAATTACAGCTTCATGTGTGTATGGATTTTCTCAGTGAGGATGAGTGGTGGGCCCTGAATTTGAAGTCCAGTTTTGGGCAACTTCTTCATCAGAATGTTTAAAATATCACTTTCCAGGGTCCCAAGGCCAAGCCTGTGGTGTCCTTCATCGCTGGTTTAACTGCTCCTCCTGGCAGGAGAATGGGTCATGCAGGGGCGATTATTGCTGGAGGAAAAGGTGGAGCCAAAGAGAAGATCTCTGCACTCCAGAGCGCGGGCGTTGTGGTCAGCATGTCTCCTGCGCAGCTGGGAACCACCATCTACAAGGTGAGCTCTAACCGTGGCCTGAGCGCTCTGAAGTAACAGGCATTGTAGCACGGGCCACACTGGATGCCCAGAAACCGTGGTCCTTTCTTCTGGGCCTTACTGTCTCTTTCTTTCTGGTGTATAGCTTAACAGTCTCTAGCAGCTCCATTCATGTCCCAGGGCCCTAATTGGGCATGACCAGGAATAACGTTCTGATTTTAAAGAACTTAACTTCTTTCGATTTTGGAATTTGCTCTTTTGTGAGGGGCAAAATATGATCTACAGGACCGTATTTCAGAGGCCATAAGTGCCATGAATTCCATTTGGGGGGAGTGCGGGGCATTGCCTTGCATTTCATTTTTTTCATTGAGGGCCTTTGGGATAGTAGCTACCCTGATCTCATAGGTTTCTGTTTCTAGGGAGAGGGGCTGAGTGACAAGAAATGAAACCTGGATGATGAGGGCGTTGATGGGGGTGTTGATGGGGAGCAGGGAAGGGATATCAAAAGAGGAAGGTGGGGGTTTCCAGCCTGTAGCTTCTGGCCCTGGCTGTGTTGGGATGCCATTGTTTGCAGGATGGAGGAGCAACTTCTTAATCATAAGCTTTGCTTTTCCTTTTTTAATAGAACATAATAGTTTAAAATGTTCTGAATGACTAGGTATCTTCTGTAATCTCTTTGCAATGAGTTTTAGCCTGTCTCTAAGTGATCATTTAAGGCTCTCTTTCTTTTTATTTTTATGACTGTTATAGCTTTGACAAAAAAGCAAAGCAAAAACCAGACATTATAAGCATGTTGAGAACAGGCATAAATTGTATCCCCAGGAGGGAACCATGTTTTGGCTCCATCTTTTTTGCCCTTGCCTCGCTTCTTGTTTTATTGAATCTTTGCCTGATCCTGTCTTTTGAAATAAGACACTATGTGCCATAGTTCTGGGTGGTTAGTGAGTGTGTGGGGCGGGGTGGGGGCAGGAAAAGGGTGAAGCAAATTCTTTCCTTCACTTTGGACACATGCATTATACCATTTTGCTCCAGTAAGTGGCAGCAGGCAACTACATATCAGTTGTATTCTAATTTCAATCTAGAGCGATGTGATTTTCAGTATTGTTTCCTTTTCAGATGTTTCAGAGGTGCTTGACATTCTGTTCAAATCTTAACTGAATCAGCGTTTAGGCTCTTTCTTGGATAAACTAAGCAAAGCTGTTTCCATTGCCTTATTAAAAAGTCCAGTGTGGTTCATGTGTGGCCTTTTAGGGTTTGCATAAGTAGTCAGGTTTGTCAGTTCTTAATAATAATACTGCTGCAGAAAAACAAGTACAGTTCACAGCCTCTCGACCTTTGTGTTTGGGAGACATAAAGTAGAGGCTGTACATCTAGGTTCGTGAAATTCCAGCTGACACAGTCCAATGTGAAAGCTGTTCTGTTGTGTTCAAGCACCCTCAGCCTGGTACATTTCACTTCTGTAATTTTTGGTTGTTCAAAGGATCCTAAAGATAAGAGGTTTCAGAATCACTTTGACCGGGAATGTAATTTGAGTCTTAAATCTTTTTATCCTCTCTCTCTTCTCTGCCTTTCTCTTTCTGAAGGAGTTTGAAAAGAGGAAGATGCTATGAAAAAGGAAACAGAAGTTCCCTAACCCTGTGGAATGAATCATTATGGAAATGGGAAGCAGCAGCGGTTTGCTTCTCTTGTCCCCCATTGTCAGCCCATGTGCCTGTCGCTGGTCTGTCAGTAGCAGGAAGCCAAAATAAGGTTCGGAACGTCCTAAATTGAGATGTTTCCACGTCATTGTGTAACAGACAGCCAATAAACCTACCATTTGATTTGAATATGCCTTTGCAGCTTTTCAGTGTTCCGATGAGGCGGGGAAGAGGGAGGGTGGGAGAAATGGAGGTGTGTGGGGGGAGCTGTGTGGGGTTTAATGGGCTCTGTAGAGAACAGCGTAACAAACTTTAGAGAGAACGAAGCTGTAAAAATGTCAGTGTGGGAGTGGTCTCCTTATCTCAGACGTAGAGTGACTTTAGTTCTCTTTGGAATCCTCGTTTTCTCATGGGTCTGGCTAACGGCACTGTATTGCGGGGCAGTTTTTGTTTTTGTTTTTTTAAGATTTTATTTATTTATTTGACAGAGAGAGATCACAAGTAGGCAGAGAGGCAGGCAGAGAGAGAGAGAGGGAAGCAGGCTCCCCGACAAGCAGAGAGCCTGATGCGGGACTTGATCCCAGGACCCTGAGATCGTGACCTGAGCCGAAGGCAGAGGCTTAACCCACTGAGCCACCCAGGCGCCCCCGAAGGGCAGTTGTGAGGATTAGAGCACGTAATGAGCAGCTTCATTGTTGTCCACGCCGCCGGCAGCAGCAACCCCAGCTGGACTCCAGGCAGAAGCTCACCTGTGTTTCAGCTGAGACATGGAAGGTTTGGAGTAGTGCTGTGTTTTTCTGTGGTTCTGCAGAGGGCTGTCCCCTTCCCCCTCCAAAGCCTGCTATTCTTTGCTTGAGATTTAAGACATCTGCTGCAAAAAACTCGGGGAAAATGGTTAGGCATCCTACTTCAGTTTAGAAGGGAGCTTGTTAACAAGAAGCAATTCCAGTGGGTATTCTCAAATTGTGTAACTACCCTGAAGGAAACAAACATAGGATTAGGGAGAAGGCCCTGAAGAAAGACTGTCTGGGGGAGGCCTTCCCGGGGAGAGGCTATGAGTTGGGACCTGGAGGCTGGGAAGGTATCAGTCATGCAGCAGGCCGAGTGCCCAGGCAGGGGCAGCAAGAGGGGAAGAGCTCACTTTGAGGAGGTAAAGGATTGCTGCGTCTCCAGGGGCAGTGACCCCTGGGAGGGGCTGGAGGAGAATTTGGGGGGCAGGGGAGACAGATGCTTTTGGAACTCCCATGACCACGCACAGGCTGCTGAGGGCACAAAGGGATTCTGCCTGGACCAAGGGACACATGGTGATGCGCTTTGGGTCTGATGGTCCTCAGTTCCTGCTCATAGCTGTTCACTCATCTTGAAAGTGGGGATGATAAGCCCCATCCCACAGGGTACCTCATGGGATATGTGAGGCTGCTCTACATGTGGTGGGCTCGCCTGGGGCTTGGCATTGCTCCTAAACTGAACTTGCCTCCTGCTGTCCTGAGTGAGGGCAGCCCAGGCTGACACCCATGGCCAGGGAGGAAGGCACTTCCTGTCTTCTTGGTTGGCACCCCCACCCCAAGGTCCCTACGAGGTAAATATTGCCTTCTTTTGTCTAACTGAGGCTTTGTGATAGGAACACAATTCAGGTGAGGGGCAGGTGACCCTACTGGAAGAGATGCTTTTGAGTGTCCACTCCTGATTCCAGGCAGCTCTGGGCCTGGCTCAGCCCCGTCCTGTCCCCTGAACGTCTACCCCAAGACAACACCTCTTGCCTCACAGCTCTGTTCCTGTTGCCTACACCAGCAAGCTCAGTGCCCTCTTAACCCTTTCTTCTCTCTCCCAGCCCCATCCTCCCCATCCCACACCTCTCTCCATCCCTCCCAGGGCCTTGTGAAACCACTTCCTCCTGACCATCTTTCCCTTCCGGCCACTGCCACCACCTCTGGTCCCAGCAGCTCAAACAGCAGCAGGAGAGATACTTGGTTCTGTTTTCTCTGACTTCATTATTACCAAGCCAGGAATGAAAGTCCCACTCGTGACCCGAGTGCATTTTTTTTTTTTTTTTTTTTTTTTTTGAAAGAGCGGGGAGAGGGAGAGGGAGAATCTTAAGCAGGCTCCATGCCCAACACGGAGCCCACGCAGGGCTCAATCTCAAGACCCTGAGATTGTGACCTGAGCCAAAATCAGCAGTCAGACGCCTAACTGAGCCATCCAGGCACTCTGCCAGTCCGTTTTTAAAAACTATTGTTACAGAAACTTTGAAGCATTTATAAAACAATTATGATAAAATAAGGAGCCCCTTCTACCCATCACCCAGCTTTGGAAATTATCAGCATTCTGCTCTTATCCTGCTATTGTTCTATGAGCTGTACCTCCAGTCACACCTTCCTGCAATGCCCCCAGTGCTATTGTTACAGATGTTTTGTGGAGGCAAGATGTACTTATGCTGAAACAGATAAATCTTAACCAAAGACATCTGACAAATGGATGGAACTGTATAACCACATCCTTCTCATGACACAGAACGTTTCCAACCTCCCAGAAGGTTCCATTCTAGCCTACCCGATAGGTATATTGTATTCTTATATTATTTGTGTCTGTCCTAGACATTTATATGAAGGGAATCTTTAGTGCACCATCTTTTATGTTGGCCTCTTTCATTCAGCATAATTTCTGTGATGTTCACTAGGCCAGTGCATGGGTCCACGGTTCATTCCCACTTACTGCTGCCCTCTACTTCCTTGCCTGGATATGCCACAATATGTTCCTTTTCCCTCTATTTTCTGGAATGGACCAGGGTGAAGAAATGTGCCATCAATGAAGCTAGTTGAGAAGCTAATTGAGCTGATGAATTAAAATGAGAAGAGATCTTGAAGGCCAAGTTAATAATTTTTTTTAAAGATTTTATGTATTTACTTGACAGAGAGAGAGAGTGTACAAGCAGGGGGAATGGGAGAAGGAGAAACAGGCTTCCCCCGATGTGGGGCTTGGTCCCCGGACCCTGGGATCATGACCTGAGCTGAAGGTAGATGCTTAACTGACTGAGCCACCCAGGCACCCCCAAGTTATGACTTTTGCACTGTATTCCAAGAACAGTGAAAGCTCTTGAAGAGTTTGAAGTAGCAGCATCTGCATTTTTGAGAAAGCTTTCTGGATCCCATGTGGATGCAGGAGAGCAGTCAGCAGTTTATTGCATTAATGCCGCTGAGGGCTGGGGGTTTCTTGGGTCAGAATGGTGGCAGGAGAGAAAGAGAGAGATGAGGATGGCTGTGCTTGGGTCTGAGAGATCTGTAAGGAGTGAACTGGACAATACCCGTGAGTCATTAGACTTACGGGGGTAGGGAAGGATGAGAGATGAGACATCCAGTTGGTTTCTAGCTTGAGCAGCGAGACATCTGAGGCCCTGGCTTGATAGAAAAGGAGGAAACTTGAGATGAAGTGTTGAATTTGGCATTTCCTCCAGGTGACAAGGTCAGGTAAGCCACGGTTCATTCGAGTTCTGGGCACCCTGGCTTGTCTCTGTGCAGGAATCACATAAGCTACAAGAATGATAACAAGCATCTAGGGAAACAGAAGAGAAGGTCTGGACCACCCCATCTCTGAGCATTTCCACGCCATCCGGAGGTCAGACACAGACGGAGCTCAAACGTACCAACGGCACAAACAGTACAGTGTGCCTTCTAGAGGACATGGACATAACTGTAGGTCCTTTCTGATGCTAAAGCCTGCTGTGCAGAGTTCAGACTCCCAAGACTTGTCGGGGAGTGGGAACTCCGTGATCATCCCATGAGTGCAGTCCTTCATGTCACACGTCTTTATGAGAATTTTCAAGGGAAAATTGAACTGACGATGTGAAGGTTCCAAATGTCCTTTGGAACCCGTGGATAGCAAATGCCAACTCTGACAATAAGGGGGCACCCAGGAGGGCTTTATCATCCTGGACTGTACTTTTGAGAGGAACAGAAAACATTTTCTGTGGAGCTATGAGGGTTTACCAGGCTTTGCCTCTGTTTTCAAAGTGGCATTCGTCGTAGATGTTACATTTTTTTTTCTAAGATTTTTATTTATTATTTGACAGAGATCACAAGTAGACAGAGAGGCAGGCAGAGAGAGAGAGGGGAAGCAGGCTCCCCACTGAGCAGAGAGCCCGATGCGAGGCTCGATCCCAGGACCCTAGGATCATGACCTGAGCCAAAGGCAGAGGCTTTAACCCACTGAGCCAACCAGGCGCCCCTAGATATTGCATATTTGAATTGCAAGGCCTGGGCTGGGGAGTAGGGCAGTAGGGAGGCAGGGCCATGTGGAGAATTTGGAAAGTGATGGGAAATTAGCACTGATATAACAGAAAGCAGTTGGGACTTGTTTTCCAAGGAAAAGCTGAGCGGTAAATGGATGATAAGGTTAATTGGAAATGATGACCATTTCTGACCCTAGATCCCTTGTTGAATTCAGTGAATGCTGTGGCCTCTGCCCAGAAATACATACCCTCACATACTGTGGTCACCATATTAGAACCTTGGGCTTAAACTCTTCCCTAAGGCATTTGTGTGTGTGTGTGTGTGTGTGTGTGTGTGTGTGTGTATTTATTTTTTATTTTTTGCATTTGTATTTTAATGTTAAGCTTTTGGAGAAGGAACTTTACATGAAAATTACAGAGTTCATTGTGCCCTTCCTCCTTGAAACCAGTCTATCCTACGCAAGCAACTCTTAAACTCCTGCCTGCAAAGTTGAGCATGACGGCCATCGGCAAGCCCCTTGGTGGCCCCTTTGCTTGTTTCTGACCAGGCCGGTTCATTTGGTCCTGTCTTCTCCGGGTCCTGACCTTTTGGCCCTGCATCTTCTACCTTGATTCCTGGTTTGCTCCTGGACTGGGCATTAGAACTTGTTCTCTCATGTATTTGAACGTTGGCTCCCTTCAGTGGATTTTGGCTTGGGTATCCCTGTGCCTTTTAGCACTCTGCCCCCTGGGTGGTCCCTGGGAGGCGGCTGACAGATGGCACATTCAAAAGTAAAGTGCCCTGGGATCAGAAAGAGTGAGAAGCCATTACCACCTTTATGCCTGATTAGCAGTGAGAGGAAGCTGTTTTCCCAAGGTGAGACCAGTAGCTCTGTGAGAGTGCCTGGGCAGGTGTTATGGCCTTGAGGAGGGGACCCCAAACCGCAACCCAAGTTCAAGACTGGACATGATAGAAATGAGGGGA